AACAGAGATGGAATCCTAAAAAGAACAGAGGGACCATTAGTCCATTAAATCTGTTTGAAATAACAGCAGAAGTCATTGTATCACAGAAAAATCAAAGGAGCATTTTCCTGGTGGTGTGATGAGTACAGAAACTGCATTGAAAGTGTTACGGAATATTTTTTTTTTTAGAAAAACGAAGCCGACTGTTTTATAGATAGCTTCTATTAATTGTTCACTATAGTTTATAAAGACCAAGAAATCTAAATTATTCTTGCTGAATAATTGGGCCAATGGAGAAATCAGGCAGACAATACATGGGCATAGCTCTTCTCCAAAACTCCAAAGCTTAGGTGGACAATGTTGCAGTACTACCTGAACTAAAGAATCAAATCACACAGCAACATAGAGGACAGCAGCTCTCCCAGTTTTCTGCAGGAACAAATGGACCATCGTAAAGGCTAAGAAGCTGGCGGGGAAGCACAGCATCAGCAGCTAAACATCTGAGCATTCAGCTCATAGCACCTGAGCAGCAATTCCATGGTACAACTGCCACTAAACTGGTGTTTGTAGGCATAAAGAATCATCAGAAGACAGAATTGAGAAGATTAGCCAAGATGTATCTTGCCAAGCACAGAATACTTAGTCAGGGCACCAACCAGTGTAACAGATTACAGAACATAAGCCAGCAAAAAACAACAGCCTCAGGAAGGAGAGTTAAATCAGAAAGTAAGCAACTGTTCAATTACCTCTACATGTGGTCTATTGCTACATTACCCTTTTTTATGGCACTCTTTCATGTGTGGTTTGACAACTAGATTGACATGCTGTATCACAGCTATACACAGTGTATGACAGACTAGAGCATTAGCCCATTTCTAGAGTATTTAATGCAGTTTTGTATCACAATGGTATCTTTGCACGTCAGGCTTTCCACTTGCATACTCTCTCAGCTAGCCACTAGTCCTCTTGTTTTTATGAGCTACTGAGAGGACAGAAGCCTCTGAGTGCTGGCGTGGTGCTTAATTAAATTGGAAATATAGGCAGAGCGCTCCTATCTTTCCTGGTATGGGTGTTTTTTTCCCACCTAATCTCTGAATAAAACTGTGAATCAGCTGTCTCAGTGTTATTGGATAAAACTTCTACACGATTCCAAAACCGATATTAATTGGCCTGTAGTACACATATTTCATCTTTATTGTGAAATTTTTGTTCTAATAGATAATCTAAGAGAATTAGTCACCAGTATTCAATGGCCTGTTTCAAACAAAACATGTACCTCATTCCCAAGGGTTTAGCTGTAGGTAAACCTCCAGGTGTAGCCTAGACCACAAGTTACAACAAGGCAGACAACACATTAAGATCTGTGTTCTTACTCTGTTTGAATAATTTGCTTTCATATACAAGTTGGTCAGGAATTGTACATGGGATTAACAATTCTATGTGACAGTCAAAGGAGAAGTGTTAATTTGACTGGATTTTTTCCCAGCCATTTTGTATCCTTTATGACAAACTGTTTATAGTAAAATGAAGTATTTCTGATTTCTATACAGAGGCTGATGACAGGAAAACAGCAACACTAAGGATCAGGTAAGGACAAACTCGCAGAGAACAGACAACCTTTCCCTAAAATCTTTTTTTTTTTCCTTTTAATATCCTGTATATAAACTTTAGGAAGTTGTTAAACAAAACCAGAGAGCAACTGCAGTAATCTCACAAATTTAACAACATCCTTTCAGATGTTCCTGCTCTTCCCTCTGTTATGTCTCCACATTGTGGGATGCTGAAGGAGTTATGAAGTCTTACCAGAGTCGCATTCCAGTTTGGTTCGATTCAAATCAATGCCATCGTCCACAAACTGACAAATGGAAAACAGTCTGCAGCCTCGCTGGCACGCGTACAGTTCCTCTTCCTGGGAAGGCACAAGAAAAGGCTTGCATCCCTCCATTCAAGAATAAATTGTCAGAAAACGATGTTTTTTTATTTGGAAGTGCTATAAAGAGACACCCACCATCCTCCTTCCCTCCACTAGACCTAGAAACCAGCTAAACATGACACTCTGGATGACCTGAAATAAAAATCAAGCTACAGCTCTTTAACACTAACATACATATCGATTTATTTCGAACAGAGCTCTTCATTCGCTGGTGGGGCACACCTGGAAGCTCAAATTCTCTTTTGTCATTCCAGTCCTACAACTCACAAGCAAAGTTGTACTGCTTTTAAAAAAAAAAAAAAAAAAAAGTGTTGAGTTTAAAAGTAAGAGATACTGCTGTAAAAGATTTACTGATGTTTAACTCTACGAAGGTAGATAGTCTTCCATCTCAGACTTAAAAACCAGAACTCAATAGGAGAGGGCAAAAAAAGACTAATTTTGACAGTGTAACAATCTATCTACCAGACTCTAATCAGACCTACCACAGAATTGTCAAAATAAAGAGATTATCTTTCAATACACTATACCAGTACCCTGGCTAACTGCTTACTTGCCAAGCCAGTTCCACAAACATTTTTATTTATTATACTGAAATAAAGGGAAAGAATGCTTCCTCACTACAACTATTAAAATTATGCAAATATAGAAAACCTACACCTTGTATTTCTTCTGTCCACAGTACCAAAGGGTGGATGTGCACTCCACATATAGTGCTCTCCAGAACTAAACCCAGCCTCTATTATATGAGCACTCCTACATCTGATCACACCCATCAAAATCACTAACCACAGAACCATTCAAATGACTGCAGCCAGTTGCTATACAGGTGGAAAACGGACTCTCAATTAAATTAACAAAAGCAAACATACCACACCTTACTGTATAGCCTATTGTAAATTAACTAGCCATTGTTTGTCTCTAAGAGCACAAGTTCACATGCTTTAAAGGCATAAAAGTAGAGAGCTGTGAATATAAATTAAAACTTAACTCCAAAAACATTGACAAGGTGGCTAAGATAGTTATGCTGTTGCAGAAAACATGATTTGTAATTTGATATGCAGACAGAATTAGCTTTAGCAGACAGATTTCTATGGCAGTCTTCCATGGAAGTCTCAATGAAGCTTTAGTTTCCAATGACAACTAGAACAATTTCGTTCAATTCAGCTGGTAGTTTTGTGACAAACTGAACAAAGACTAAACATAAAGGAAGAAGTGAGTGTATTATTTGACAGCTCCAACAACAGACAACAAAGAATTCAAAAGTACAGTAAAAACCACAGAAATAATAGCCTTCCTTGGATTTGAAAGAGCCTAACAACAGAAACAACAGCATTGTGCCAAAACAGTGTGGAAACGTATTAGGATAATGTTAAGTCCGAGTTGCTCAGGTTTGGTTCTTTCTCCTCACTATTACCATGTGTAGGCACCAAAACACGCCATAAAGACAGATAAAAGTTTACTTGTATTCCACACAACTCCCTGTTCCTTCTCTTTGTCGGGATACCAATATCAGCTAGAAAGTCACAAAATCCGATTTTAAGTTCCACGTGAAAGCAGACAAAGCCCTATTACCTAACACTGCCACCACTTCCATTTGCCTGCTGCCCTTGTGTGAAAACTCGAAGATGGGGTAAGACCTCCCATAATTCAGAGTTGAACCTGCTACACAGCTGCAGCTGATAACAAAGTACATTGCCAAGAAAGAACCAGGAAAGGTGAGATCTTTGGTAGTTGCCAAATATTTTACCTAATTAATTCTCCAAATTCAAGCCAGTAGCTCAAAGCTGCACCAACAGCAAACTCTGGAGTATGAAATTAGATTTGCACTAGACACTATTTCAGTATTTTATCATGAGATGAAAAAAATTCCATGCAAGTGAATCAAAACACAGGTTGAAAGTTCTGACAAGCTACTCATTTATCACCATTTATGCTTCATCCTTCAACATTCAAGCATTACACTGGCCTGACTCAGGATGTCTGGCCTGTCATAAACATGGCACTAGTTTAGTGCCTAAAAATATGGAACAGTTCAGGTCAAATTACAGCTGCCTCTTTAGGAACAGGAGGAAAAAAAAGCAGCAATCCCCCGAAAACCACAAAAGTAGCCAGTGAAGACAAAGCTATACTTTGAAAGTGGCATTTCTTTGGCAAGCTACAGCCTAACCATCTATTTTCAAAGTGAGGTATCTATCTTTGGAGAAGCCACTGCATTCCCTACTTTGATGGGACGGAAATCTAAGCCAGATGAGACACGCCACGGAAAAACAACAGCAGGCTGCTGGTGACTGCATCCGAGCACTGCATGAGCTTCCTTCATATTGATGCTTACTTAAAGACACGTCCAACACTCCTTGAGAAAACATGCACGGGGACATGCCTCGAAAAGGGCTCCTGCCCGAGAAAATCCCGGATATGTCCTGTCACTCTGGAGCACAAGGAGGAAAAAGACACCAGCTGGGGCTGCATGGGGAGAGGGACAAACGACACGGCCGGGGGTCCGGGGGCCGTGCTGCCCGGTAGTCCCGCAGCACAG